GCTTATAATGACCCAATGTGCAAATTTTTGCGTCTGCCCTAAATATCTACTGGTTTATTTTTATAATTTTTGTGTCTATACTATTTGCAAGCAGCATGTGTCAGTAGACCTTATTAATAAATAAAAAGCCAATTTGGATAGAATCACTGTAAATTTGTAGTGCTGGTTTTTTGCTAAAAATATTTTAAGCTCTTCAAAAGAAACTTTATGAGTGCATCTCACAGATCTGGCAAAGATCTTGGGATATTAATGTATGCTGTTTGCTGCCTTGTATCAGCATCAGTTTCTCTGAGGCTCTAGCGGTTAGTTATGTCTTGACTGCTGAGGCTCTAATTTCTTCTACTGTGTTAACTTGCTTCTGGCAATATTGAACAGTGAACAGACCTACTGAAACCTTGAAAGGTTTTCTGGGTACTCAATAAAATGGTAAAAAAAAATAAAAAGGCACAGGAGATATCAAAAACATTTACGGTTTATAAATTTGCCCCAGTACTCAATTTATCATGTAAGGACTGCTAGATTAGTTAAATTAGTTCTAAAAAAAGAAACTGGATTTTTTTTTTTTTGAGACAGAGTCTTGCTCTGTTGCCCAGGCTGGAGTGCAGTGGTGTGATCTCAGCTCACTGCAACCTCCACCTCCCAAGTTCAAGCAGTTCTTCTGCCTCAGCCTCCCAAGTAGCTGGGATTACAGGCACCAAGCCCAGCTAATTTTTGTATTCTTAGTAGAGATGGGGTTTCACCATGTTGGCCAGGCTGGTCTTGAACTCTTGACCTCGTGATCTGCCCATCTTGGCCTCCCAAGTGCTGGGATTACAGGTGTTAGTCACCACACTTGGCCCCAGAAACTGGACTTTTTTAGCATCGTTTGTTGTTCTAATACATGATCACGCGTATAAAAGATCAGTAGAACCAGGCATGGTAGTTCATGTCTGTAAACTACTAAAATCGCTACTAAAAATATAAAAAATTAGCTGAGCGTGGTGGCACACAACATGTAATCCCAGCTATTCAGAAGGCTTAGGTGGGAGGATCATCTGAGCCCAGGAAAGCCAAGGCTGCAGTGGGCTGTGATCATGCCACTGCACTCCAGCCTGGTGAGTGAGAGCAAAGTGTGAGATCCTGCCTCAAAATAAAGGTCAGTTTGGGGGCTGATTAATAGATTTTGCCTAACTTTTAAACAAAATGACTTAACTTCAGAAATTTACTCTTTTTGTTCCAGCTAATTCAAATGTGGAGCCGGTGGCATTGTTCAGAATGTACTTTTTACACTGAATGAGGTGAAATGATTCTTTCAGCATAATCCTGAATAGTGTTGAACACTTAATACACAAAAGGTAGTAGTTGTGAGGATATGAAGGTAAAATGTGAAATATCTATGAGTTTTAATTTTTGAGACAGGGTCTGTGTCACCCAGGCTAGAGTGCAGTGGCACCATCTCAGCTCGCTGCAGTCTCAACCTGCTGGGCTCAAGTGATCTACCCATCTTATCCTCCTGAATGGCTGGTACTACAGGAAGGAAGTGCACACCACCACACCTAGCTTTTTTTTTTTTTCTGTAGAGATGGTGTTTCACCATGTTGCCTAGGGTGTCTTGAACTCCTGAGCTTGAGGGGATCCACCCACTTGGGTGTCCCAAAGTGCTGGGATTAGCAGGTGTGAGCCACCTCACCCAGCCTATGAGGTTTTAATAGCATAAGTTATAACATCCTTTATGTGTTGAGTAAAGCAAATTTGAAATGACTTACGCTATGGAAAATATAACTTTAAACATGAATACAACACAAAGCTCATTACTAGATTTTCGTAACAATTTTTATATTTATCACTGGCCCCAGGCCTCAGGTATTCAGGGTCAACATCTTTACCTTTGCTACCCAGTGTAGTCCTCAAAATGGCAGCATTGGCCAGGCGCAGTGGCTCACGCCTGTAATCCCAGCACTTTGGGAGGCCAGGGGTGGGTGGATCACTTGAGGTCAGGAGTTCTAGACTGCCCTGGCCAAGATGGTGAAAGCTCGTCTCTACTAAAAATACAAAATTAGCCAGGCATTGTGGTGAGCGCCTATAATCCCAGCTACTGAGGAGGCTGAGACAGGAGAATCACTTGAACCTGGAAGGTAGAGGTTGCGATCATGCCACTGTACTCCAGCCTGAGAGACAGAGTGAGACTCCATCTCAAAAAATAAAAATAAAAAAAGGCCAGGCACGATGGCTCACACAGACTGGTGAAAGGAAGGCAGGAGAACTCTTTCCTGAGGACTGCCCTTGAGGCTTAACACACCCAAAAGACTGTAACAAGGGATAGGGGAGTTATGAGTGAGGAACTGTGCACAAACACCTATGTATGAACGTTTTCTATATGATAATTAATTTACTTATTTTTGAGATGGAGTTTCACTCTTATTGCCCAGTCTGGAGGGCAATGGCGTGATCTCGGCTCACAGCATCCTCCAACTCCTGGGTTCAAGTGATTCTCCTGCCTCAGCCTCCCTAGTAGCTGGGATTACAGGCATGTGCCATAACACCCAGCTAATTTTTTTATTTTTAGTAGAGGCAGAGTTTCACCATGTTGGTCAGGCTGGTCTCAAACTCCTGACCTCAGGTGATCCACCTGCCTCAGACTCCCAAAGTGCTGGGATAACAGGCATGAGCCACCACAACCGGCCTTTTGAATATATATATTTTTTGAGATGGAGTCTTGCTCTGTCGCCCAGGCTGGAGTACAATGGCACAATCTCAGCTCACTGAAACCTGTGCCTCCTGGGTTTAAGCGATTCTCCGGTCTCCACCTCCCAAGTTGCTTGGATTATAGGTGCATGCCACCACACCCAGCTAATTTTTGTATTTTTAGTAGAGACAAGTAGATCAAGACCACCTTGGCCTGGCTGGTCTTATCTCCTGACTTCAAGTGATCTGCCCGCCTCAGCCTCCCAAAGTGCTAGAATTACAGGTATGAGCCACCACACCAGGCCTGTATATATACTTTAACACCACACATATTAAAAATCCAGATTGCCTGTGCCCTCCTGAAAGATCAGGAAGACTTGGCCACACTGACCATTCTGCCAAGCAGCAGTTGCCTCAGGCTGAACTGTTGCTGCCACCTCCTGGCCAGCTTCACTCCTTTCCTGCTCTAGTGTCTGATTTGGATCCTGATCTAGATTGGTACGGAGCACCCTCCAATACATGTGCACAAGATACTATACATGGTGTTGTGGATGCACAACAAAGGTGGTGACACTATTCCCTATGATCTGCAACCTTCCACCTGGAATGTACCGTCCATTTGGACATCCAAGGCAGCCTTGCAAGTCCTACAGGACGGGGAAGTTTTCATGTGAAGCCTGTGAGGGAATGTGCGTGTCCTTCCTCAGCCTTCAGCTTTCAGGAGTAGACAAGGGATTACTAAACCACTATTTCATGTCAGTACATGGCTTTATTTATTAAATCAGCAAAACAACACAAAATATTGTCACCAGACACTAAGCTTAAAAATGACATTTCAGGCCGGGCGTGGTGGCTCACGCCTGTTATCCCAGCACTTGGGAGGCCAAGATGGGCAGATCACGAGGTCAAGAGTTCAAGACCAGCCTGGCCAACATGGTGAAACCCCATCTCTACTAAAAATACAAAAATTAGCTGGGAATGGTGTTGTATACCTATAATCCCAGCTGAGGGATGTTGATGTTGAGGCAGGAGAATTGCTTGAACTTGGGGGGCAGAGGTGGCTGGGAGCTGTGATCGTACCACTGCACTCCAACCTGAGCAAAAAAGTGAGACTCAAAAAAAAAGGCATTCCTTTTGAGCACTGTTCTTTTGTATTTTAATAATCCTGCAAAATATTCAAGTTATAATGGATGTGACATAAAATTTCCTTTCAAGATAGGTTAAGATTATATATATATACACACACACACACACACACACACACACACACACATACATATAAAAGGAAATAAGGGAGTCAAAATACTAGGAAAAAAAATCAAACATAAAAGACAGCAGTAATGGAGAAAACATAAGTGAAAGGTGCCAGACACAAAGGACGTTTATGATTCCACTTTTATAAAATATCCAGAATCGACAAATCCTTAGAAGTAGTATCCAGGGGATGGGAGGAGGGAGTTATTACTTAATGGGGCTTCCCTTTGTGTTGATGAAAAATGTTTTGGAACTGTAGTGATAACGGTACCACAATACTGTAAATGTACTAAAAGCTACGGAACTGTATACTTTAAATGGTGAATTTTATGTTATGTGAATTTACTATAATAAAAAATAAGAGAAAAAGTTGCTTTACACAAAAGCATGAAGTAAAAATTATTATGTGGGATGGTAAAGGAGTGCAAATCATAAAGGCAGTCAAAGAATTTATCAAATGGGGGGAATATTGCTTTGGCCAGATTACCTGAAAACGGCAGTCCATGGGTGGAGAAAGGTATCTGCCCTGCCCAACCAGCAGCAGGCAGGCAGGGGCCTGGAAGCCCAGTGAAGGCGCTGTTTAAAACAGGGCATCCAGTCTGGATAAAGGTGCCAAACTAAATGCAGCAGGATGATATTTTGAGATACCTGACTTTGTTCTTTCTGCTCTGGAATTTCACTCCCTGGCCCTGCCCTCTGCCTGCAGCCAAGTTCATTGCCCCAGGAGAGGAAAGTGAGAGCAGAAATCTGGAACAAAGGACTATGGAAGAAAAAAAAATTACAGGTGAGTCATCTAAAAAGCAATAAAGTAATAGTAATATGAATAATGATTGTGTATAGTTTTAAAACATCCTGATAAATCAATCTCATTCTGATTCTGAAATTTAGGTGAGACTGGAATGTAGATGGAACTAGGAACAGGGACAAATAGACCTTATCACAGCAAAGAGGCTACTACCTAGAAAGAAGTGTTGATACCCAAAGCATAATGTTAAAGTAACCAAGGACAGAGAAACCCAACTGATCCATCCCATCTACAATTAAACTAAGGAGAAAATTACTTGAGCTCTTTCTAGAGAATGTTAAGTAAACAGATTTTATTCAATCTTTCCTAGAGTTTATAATGAATACCTGTTATTTAATATGGTAGTTACATTACAGTTTTTATCTCATGAGTGATAGAACATTTGGTGAATCAGATTAACAAACCGAAAATGATGATACTGTCTAAGACACTCTCTGGAGGCACACCAGTCCCACTGACTCATTTTACTAATTCAAGTTGGCATCCAACTGATTTGTAGAATGTGTTATCCTGAGGTTTCTGCATTTATACCACCTGAAGAGGGTCCCTGTCAGTCTCTGATAGGATAATATTTATCTTATTCTCCAAGTGAGAGCCCAGCATATCTCGAAGGTCAGAAAGAAAGCCTCGTTCAGTGTTGCTATGTTCACAGAGGATGACATTTATTCCTTGGGAAGCAGCATCCAAAATATCATGATGGGACATCTCACCTACCAAAAAGGAAAGAACAAATTCTCAAATGCTAGATATGGAATCTGTGGAATGAAGAACCACAAAAACAGAAATACCAAGTTTGTATTCTATATAAGGTGAATGTACAGTTTTCTTTTATGTCCTCCAACTTAAAAAGAGAGAAAAGTCTGGGTGCAGTGGCTCACACCTATAATCCCAGCACTTTGGGAGACCTAGGCAGGTGGATCACCTGAGCTAAGGAGTTCCAGATAAGCCTGGTTAACATGGTGAAACTCCATCTTAAAAACACAAAAATTAGCTGGGCGTGGTGGCGCATGACTGTAATCCCAGCTACTCAGGAGGCTGAGGCAGGAGAATCCCTTCAGTCCAGGGACTGGAGGTTGCAGTGAGCCAAGATCACATCACTACACTTCAGCGGTGACAGAGCAAGACTGTGTCTCGAAAAAATAATAAAATAAAAATAAAAGCCATCCCATTGAGAATTGCAACTTCTTTTTCCTTGGCAGACCCCAAGGCAATTATCCAATACAACATATCTCGCCAGAACCAGATCTGCAAACACCTATTCAAAGTGTTTCCACAATAAAATGAATGACCACTACTAAGTAAAATGAGGCCTTCAGAAAATTTGCCTCTTATGTACGTAATAAATACCTCTGAAGGAAATTCTGTGTATACTGCCCAGCAGACTCTTATGCTTTGTAAGCACCAATATTTCTATCATCAACTTAGTCTAATATATAAGAATGAAATGAATTTAAGATTATTTCCAAATTAAATACAAAGTATTTTTCTTTGACTAAGCAAAATCCCTAGAAACTCTGGAGGGAATCTCATCTGTTGTGAAAAGATTTGGGGAAAACGCAAATATTCTGAATTTTTAATTTATTTATATATTTATTTAGACAAAGTTTTGCTCTGTCGCCCAGGCTGGAGTGCAGTAGCACAATCTCGGCTCACTGCAACCTTTGCCTCCTGGGTTCAAGTGATTCTCCTGCCTCAGCTTCTCGAGTAGCTGGGATTATAGGCACCCACCACCACACCCAGCTAATTTTTGTATTTTTAGTAGAGAGAGGGTTTTGCCTGGTGACAAAGCAAGACTGTCTCAAAAAAATATATATATAGTAAAAGTAAAAAGCAAGAAAAAGACACTAAGATGGCCCAGTTGGAAGCCTTGTTTCCAACTAGGAAAGATAAATCTGGCTCTCTGTACTGTGACAAACTCACTGGCTGGATAAGGCATAAAAAGGGGGAAATCAGTGAAGACCCTGAAATACTAGCTGAAGCCAAAGGAAAGAAAAGCTTGGCCCAGGATGGCAGCTTGGAAAAGCAGCAGCAAATGGAGAATGAAGACAAAAGAGAATTTACATTTGCAAGGAGCAGGATCCCCATCTGCTGGTCTTGCAGGGTATTAACCCTTAACGACCTAATACAATGAGAACACTGCCTCAGGCTCAGAGGAAGGGTGATGAAGTTCAGAAGTCCTTTAGGTAGGGCTGCACATCCCTGAAGTTATACTCAAAAGCGATGCCTCACAGACCAGAGACAGCTAATGCTAGCCAGATAATATATTTTCTATTTCTCCCCACAGCCAGATAGGAAAGACATTTTAACATTTTGGAACTGTTTGAATTTATCTTATGCACATATCATTATACTTTATCATTTTTAAAAAAACTAGTTTTTAAAACAGTATTTATGAGAAAATAATCAGATACCCCAAATTGAGAGAGAAGCACAAAACAAAGAGCCTATACTCTTTTCTTTTTCTTTTCCTTGAGACAGAGTCTCACTCTGTTGCCCAGGCTGGAATGCAGTGGTGTAATCCTGGCTCACTTCAACCTCCACCTTCTGGGTTCAAGCAATTCTCCTGCCTCTGCCTCCCAGACAGCCAGAATTACAGGTGTGCACCACCACACCCAGCTAATTTTTGTATTTTTAGTAGAGATGGGGTTTCACCACATTAGCCAGGCTGATGTCGAACTCCTGACCTCAGGTGATCCGCCCACCTCGGCCTCCCAATATGTTGGCATAACAGGCATAAGCGACTGCGCTCAGCCTAAGTAGCCAATACTCTTTAAAAATGTCAATGCTATTGAAGACAAAGGTGAGGAACTATTTCATATTGAAAGTGACTAAAGAGAGATAACAACTAAATGCAATGAGAGATCATGGACTGGATATGGATCAGAAAAAGAAATGCTATAAATTCTTATCAATTGGGAAAATGTGAATATGGACTGTATATCAACTGTTTTAATAGTATTAAATTCCCACATTTGATAACTGTTCAATGGTCTTAGAATTAGAATGTCTTTGTTCGTTTTCTTCGTTTTCTCTCTTTTTTTTTTTAAGATAGAGTCTTGATCTGTCACCCAGGCTGGAGTGCTGTGGCGTGATCTCGGCTCACTGCAACCTCCACCTCCCAGGTTCAAGCCATTTCCCTGCCTCAGCCTCCCGAGTAGCTGGGACTACAGGTGTGTGCCACCACGTTCAGCTACGTTTTTTTGTGTGTTTTTAGTAGAGACAGGGTTTCACTGTGTTAGCCAAGATGGCTTGATCTCCTGATCTCATGATCCACCCACCTCGGCCTCCCAAAGTGCTGGGATTACAGGTGTGAGCCAGCACACCCGGCCCAGAGTGTCTTTGTTTTTAGAAGACTATACACACTGAAATATTGAGAGGTAAAGAAACTGTCATGTCTGCAATTGATTCCAAAATGGTTCTGGGGGGAAACATATCAAGATATATTAAACATTTTAACTTGTATATTATATATTATGTATCTATACATGCACACACAAATGTATATATACACACATATATAACATGCACACAGAGAACGTACAAATATGGCAGAATATAACCATTAGTAACCAAGGTGAAAAGCATACAGGAGCTCATTGTACTATTCTTGTAACTTTTGCATATGTCTGAAATTCCTTCTAAGCAAAATGCTAAAATGAATTTTAAAATAGCCAGACACAATACTGTAAGATATTCATATTGAAATTTGATTTTAATCTGGTAGAAATTTAAAGGCTTATAAAAAGCTTTTATCTTCAGAAGGATAGAAAATAGCTAATAGTCACAAACATGTTTTTCTTTTTTTAAATCAATTTATTGGTTTAGAGCAATTCCATCAGGCTTGATCAGATGCTGCTCCTCGGTACTTCTGGATGTGACAATGCTTTGAGTACAGCAGCCTTTGTAAGGCAGTGTGCTATGTAATAAGGCACGGGTATGGGAGACAAGGGAGGCATGGGAGTAGCCAAGGGAACAGACAGAGGGCTAAGAGTCTAGAGCCTGGTCCTCAGAGTGTGAAAAGTAATTTTTTAACTCAATTCTTTCCTTTTTTTTTTTTCCTTCTTATTTTTTACTTTTTTTTTTCTTTTAAAGACGGGATTTCACCATGTTGGTCAGGCTGGTCTTGAACTCCCGACCTCAGTTGATCTGCCCGCCTTGGCTTCCAAAGTGCTTGGATTACAGGTGTGAGCCACTACGCCTGGCCTAACTCATTCTTTTGTAACCCTAAGGAGGAGCAGGTAAACAAAGTGGCAACCCCTTAAAATGCCTCCAAATCCTTTGGAGGAGTAATGGGCCATGTTTGGCCATATTCCTGAGTAGTAACTACATGGAGTAATCCTTTCAATAAAAATCAGCCAGGACCTCAAAGATAGAGTGTAAAGCCCAGCAGCCAGACAAATAATTACTTTCCAACAAAAAAAGTGCACGTTGGAGGTCAAGGACAAAGTAATAGGGACCCAGGAGAGGCAGAAGCAGGACAGTGTCAGAGAAGGCTTCTCAGAGGGGTGTTCACTTATCACTAGGAGTACAAGGGAAGGGGCAAGGAAAAGGCATTCTAGCCAGAGAAAACAGCATAAGCAAAGGCTATAGGAAAGAGGATGCAATGTTCAGGCTCCATCAGACAGATGAAGGAAATCACAGAAGTCTTTTTAATCAAGACCATCAAATTTACACTTTCAAGATTTTATTTTTTTTTTTTTGAGACGGAGTTTCACTCTTGTTACCCAGGCAGGAGTGCAATGGCGCGATCTCAGCTCACCGCAACCTCCGCCTCCTGGGTTCAGGCAATTCTCCTGCCTCAGCCTCCTGAGTAGCTGGGATTACAGGCACGCATCAACATGCCCAGCTAATTTTTTGTATTTTTAGTAGAGACGGGGTTTCACCATGTTGACCAGGTTGGTCTCGATCTCTCGACCTTGTGATCCACCCGCCTCGGCCTCTCAAAGTGCTGGGATTACAAGTGTGAGCCACCGCACCCAGCTCAAAAGTTAATTTTAGGAGAGATATGGAAGATAAGAGTAGAGGCCTGATGCATACTTCAAGTAGGAGATGGTGCCAGGATAGAGAGATAAGGGGGAAGATTCTAGAAAGATTTGGGAACTTAAATTGATAGGAACTGATGATTGGCTTTAGGCTGAGTAAGAGGAACCATTTCCTAGCTATGGTAATGTATCCATAATGTAGGGTAGAAAGTATCCCACTGACATGAAATCTGGAGGTTTGGGACACTTTAGGAAGAATGTAGGTAAAATAAATGCTGACCATTAATTTTTTAGCTAATTTAATAAATTGTTCAATGATTTCATCCCTCTACAAATAATGCAATACATCCCCAATTCTGTTGTAGTTCCTGTTTAGTTCAGGTTCAAAAAACATTAATTAGGTATCATCTATGTGCCAGTTACTGTCCTAAAATCTGCCATTTTTGATTTTGTAAAAAATAAACCAAGTGAGGCCGGGCACGGTGGCTCAAGCCTGTAATCCCAGCACTTTGGGAGGCTGAGGCGGGTGGATCACGAGGTCGAGAGATCGAGACCAACCTGGTCAACATGGTGAAACCCCGTCTCTACTAAAAATACAAAAAATTAGCTGGGCATGGTGGCGCGTGCCTGTAATCCCAGCTACTCGGGAGGCTGAGGCAGGAGAATTGCCTGAATCCAGGAGGCGGAGGTTGCAGTGAGCCGAGATCGCGCCATTGCACTCCAGCCTGGGTAACAAGAGTGAAACTCCATCTCAAAAAAATAAATAAATAAATAAAATAAACCAAGAGAGAAATAAAGGCTGTCCTACCTGTGAAGTAAAGGTCAGCCTCTACACCCTGAAGAATGCTGCTCCCAGAACCAGCACACAGGGCCACAACTTTGACCTGGGACTCTTTAAAACAAAGGAAACAAGACCAACGCTTTATAATTCTCTTTCATTTTACTACTATAATTTGTACCAAGAATCTTAAACATAATATTTCATTCCTGGTCTCATCACCAGTATATGAACTATTCTTACTGCATTAAAAAAAAACATGTTTTAATATAAACAAACAGATCATTCTTTGATATTGCAGAGCTAATCCAAGGCATGGTTATTATTCCTTTGTTGTTTTTTTTCTAACAATCTTTGTGAATTGAGCAAAATATGGAACAATGCACAAATTTGCATGTAATCTTTGCATAGGCAACATGCTAATCTATATCGTCCAATTTTTAGTATATGTGCCGCTGAAGGGAGCACCATTATTCCTTTGGACATGGCTGCACAAACCACTGAATAGTACTAATGGTGATGCTGTAGGCTATACTGCCACGTTGCTAGGTAAAGTAACCTCACCTGGGTCTTCAGACAATAAGAGGTAGGCAAATATTATTTCTATTCTCAGGTGAGGAAGCTGAGGAACTAAAAGGACTAATTAGAGGAATGCTACGAATGGATTTGGCACATATTTTAAAATATACTCTTTATTCTCAAAAAGCATCCTCTGAGAAGTGAAATATTGGCAATTTTCAAGCCAAAATCCAAGTATTTAGCACTCAGGTGTCTAAAATGGACACTTCTTTAGTGGTCACTCCAATTCAGCAGCATGGTATCTCAAAGAGAGGGCTTTGGAGTTATACCGGCAGTCAGATCACACCTCTGCTATCCATTTTCTTTGGACACTAACTCCCTTGAGTTGTTTGATCTAACTATGGACTTTTGGATAAGTTACTGATATGGTTTGGCTCTGTGTACCCTTCTAAATCTCACCTTGAATTGTAGTCCCTATAATCCCCACGGGTCAAGGGCAGGACCAGTTGGAGGTAACTGGATCATAGGGGACGTTCCCCAATGCTGTTCTCGTGATAATGAGTCTCACGAGATCTGATAGTTTTACAAGCGTCTGGCATTTCCCTTGCTTGCACTCATTCTCTCTCCTGCCACCCTGAGAAGAGGTGCCTTCCACCATGACTGTAAGTTTCCTGTGGCCTCCCCAGCCAGGCAGAACTGAGTTAATTAAACCTCTTTTCTTTATAAATTACCCAGGCTTAGGGATTTCTTCACAGCAGCGTTGAGAACAGACTAATACAGTTACCTATCTCTCTGAACTGTAATTTTTCATCTTTAAAATGGGAGAAATAATACCAACCACACAGCTAGCAACAGTTAGCACTTCAACTGTACTTAATGTGAGACAGTCACTGTGTTGTGTCACGTGGATTACTACGACCCTCTGAGTTAGGTTTTATTATTAATGCAGCTTTTACAGATGAGGCTACTGGGACACAGAGGGCATAAACAACCTGCCAAAGTCATGCAGCAGACAGACAGGACAGACATATATGAAGCCACGTTGTCTGAGCTCAGAATCCACACCTGTAACCGCTGTGCCCCACTCCTTTTGCCGGTGGGAGCTCACATACTTAGGACAGACAATCAGTACAGTGCTAGGCTCACTACAGGTGTTGAACAAATGTCTGTTCACTCTTTTTGTTATCAAAAGAACTAGGAAAAGCCAGAAGAAAAAAACCACAAGACTTAGAAACTGCAGTGGATCAGATCACTCAGTAGCACCTCACTAGAAAATATTACCAGTCTTATAAAGCGTAAAATTTATGTTGTAATTATAGCAATCATGATTCTAGCTCTCTTCTTGACACATGTTAAGACTGCACTTTATGCCTCGGTTGGTTGTAGTGAGCAACATTGACTAATTCTGGAAAATGAGTTGAGCAGAAGTAACATGTATCATTTCCTGGAATTTTAAACTGATGGTTTAAGACCCTCCAAAACTCTTTCCCTCTGCAACAGCAACCAGTCCACAATGGCCATACTTACTACAATGACCAACTTAATGAACACATAGCATGACAGAGAAATAAGTCTCATTGATTAAGCCAATTAGATGTATTCCACAGCAGAACCTAGTCCACCCTAATCGATAAACCAGTTATCTCCCATGAGCTGTTAACACATTCTCTGTTACATTAATACAATCAAGAGTTTCAACCTTTGTCCAATGTTAACAGTAGGCATACTGGATAAATGAAGATGTATTTACCTAAGGTTCTCCCTACCCCAAGGGCTAAGCGAATGTAAGATAGTTTTAGGTGTCTTTTGATTCGATCAATCATGGTTGCCAGGGAGACAGATTCGTCCAGTGTGCATAACCGTCCCATTCCAGTATGTTGAAGCAAAGGCTGAGGAGAAACAGAAGTTAGAAACGTCACTCCTAAAACAACAAATGCTAAAATCGATCAACATGCACACTGCGAGGTTACTATAGCAAGCTCCAGGCTAAATGTGGGGATATAAACCTGACAAAAACATTCTTTCTTCTAGGAGGTCACACTTTCCTAGGAAGGCAGATGTTTAAATCAATAATCAGGTCAGGCGTGATGGCTCACGCCTGTAATCCTAGCACTCTGGGAGGCTGAGGTGGGTGGATTACTTGAGCTCAGGAGTTTAAGACCAGCCTGGGCAACATAGTGAGACCTCATCTCCACAAAAAAATCCAAAAATTAGCTAGGCACGGTGGCATGCGCCTATAGTCCCAGCTACTCAGGAGGCTGAATGGAAGGTGGGCTTGAGCTACCCAGGAGGCAGAGGTTGTGATGAGCTGAGATTGCACCACTGCACTCCAGCCTGGGTGACAGAGCCAGACCCTGTCTCCAAAATAAATAAATAAAATAAACAAAATAATAAAACTGTTTAAATAGGTGCTAAAATCTACCACCTGCATCGAAGTAGGTGCTACTGTTGCAGCTGCACAAGGAATGACAAACTAAATGAGCTGTGACTTGGGAGAGTTGGGAGTACTTGGAGGAAGGACTCAGGTCTTAGAGAAAACCCTAAAAGAGTTTTAAAAGGGGAAATAAAAAAGTTTAAAAGGAGGTGATGTCAAGTGCAGTGTGGCAGGACAGAGGTATAATGAGATGGAGGAAGGCATTCTAAACAGAAAGAACGTGGACAAAGGTGCCAAAGGCTTGAGAGAACACACTGCGGGAGGCAGATCCAAAAGAAGGCTCTCTGGCTACTGTGCAGAGCATGTGCTGTGGACGGAGAGGAGGCTAGAGGCCCGGGCTGTAGCAGATCATTAAGGGCTTCCAACGCTGTGCTAAAGAGCCTGGACTGCCTCCTAGCTGCTCAGGGATACTACTCTCATCGCAGAAAATGAGAGTTTCAATTACTGTGATAGCAGAGCCAATACAGAGGAGAAACACTATATAGATGTGAGGCCAGAATCAGCAGGCCTTGGAGTCAAGGAGGAATGTGAAAACGTGGAAACTAAAGTAAATAATGATATTGAAATATGAAATAGGAAAAAAAAAGATACAAAGAGGTGGTGCAGGGATAAGTATTTGTATATATTGAATTTGAAAAACGTGTGGGCTTTGTAAGTAGAACACATCCAGAAAGTAGTTGAAAATAAGGGTTTTTGTCATTTTTTTCCTTAAGAAAGCATTCTAAGCCAAAAAGATAGGAATTATCATCATACAAATGGCTATTGAGTTAAAGTGAATGACATGGTCCAGGCAGAGGGAGTAACATAAGGAGACAGCAAACTTGTAACCAAATCTGTAACCCTGAAGTACCAACATTTTAATTCCTGGAATGTCTCCCTTCTCAATTACTTCCCAGAGAATATTATGCTCTCATTGCCATTTTGTACTTTAGGTAACAGTGAATGGCCTGTTGATCTAATAACTTACAAATGGATTCCCTGAAGAAAAATGCAAAGTAATGACACTCATCAAACTGTATATACCAAATATGTATGATTCTTAGTATATCGGTTATACCTCAATAAAGTTGTTAGAAAATGCACAGTATTTTAAGATCAAATACAAAATACATTTATTACCTTCTCTAGTGACAGAATTTCTGTCTTCCGATAAAGTTGTTTGTTCTGGGAAAGAAAATCTACGACCTGCATCAAAGCCTTCTGAGTACAATTCAAACTAATCCGTGTTTGTTCCTCATCATCAATTCTGGGGGGGGGGAAATCATTCCATTTAGGATAAATATAGCCAAAATGTATTTTAGATAATCCACAGTTTACAAACCTACTATAATAGGAGATTAGATTTACATGGAGCTAAGGATTTAACCAATAGAACCCATTTAATATGAAACTAATCAATTTTCTAGAATAGCATTTCTCTAACTCAAGTATGCATCAAAATCACCTGGAGGACTTATTAAAACACAGAGTGCTGGGCCCCACTCCTGGGGTTTCTGATTCATTATATCTAGGTGGGAATCTAAGAATATACCTTTCTAGCAAGTTCCAGGTGATGCTGATGTTGCTGGTCCAGGGACCTCACTTTGAAACCACCATTCAAGAACTGTTCTCAATCCTGATCGTGCATCAGAAATTTCCTGGCCAGGCACAGTGGCTCACACCTGTAATCTCAGTATTTTGGGAGGCCAAGGTGGACGGATCGCTTGAGCCCAGGAGTCGAGACCAGCCTGGGCAGCATGGAGAAACCCCAACTCTACCAAAAACACCAAAAAAATTACCCAGGCATGGTGGTGGGCGCCTGTAGTCCCAGCTACTAGGAAGGCTGAGGCAAGATAATCACTTGAACTTGGGAGGTGGAGGTTACAGTAAGCGGAGATCACAACACTGCACTCCAGCCTGGGCGAGAGAGCAAGACTCTGTTTCAAAACAAAAAAAAATTCCTTCTAGCTTCTTAAAATAACAGCTGCTGGATCCTTCCACAGAACCAGTGAAACAGAACATCTACAAATGGGGCTGGGGCAAACTGAACTTTTTTAAAACCTTAAAGATGATAATTTTAAAACAACACTGAATCCAAGAATGTCCTGGACAGATTCTCAGGCAAACTCCATTTTACTTACAAAGATCTGAGATGAATACAAATATCTGCATTTTAAATAAGCAGCTCATTAATAATCATGCAGGGGGTCTTTGGATCACCCTCTGGGGCCTCTCCAAAATTATTGGCATCAAGAAAGTTTTACATTTAACCATAAACTCTAAATATGATCATAAAATTCTAGAACTAAAAAGACACCTTTAAAAATAATCTAGAAGCATTAATTATAAACACTGGAATCATCTGTGGATTGTTTTAAAAAAGAAAGAAAACCAATGCCTTGGTCCCTATCTAATGGTAAAACCCAGATATTATCTACAATATGGAAAAACTGGAACCAAACTAATAAGTCCATCAGTAGGAAGAGGAATGCTTAAAGAAACTACCGTTCATCCATAATAAAAAAAAAAAAAACACTATAAGCAATTAAAAATAATGAGAGCTTAGGCTGGGGGCAGCAGCTCAATCCTAGTACTTTGGGAGGTCAAGGGGGGCACATGGCTTGAGCCCAGGAGTTCGAGACCAGCTTGGGCAATAAGTCAAAACTCCGTCTCTACAAAAAATACAAAAATTAGCTGGGCATGGGTGGCAAGCACCTACAGTCCCAGCTATTTAGGAGGCTAAGGTGGGAGGATTGCTTGAGCATGTGAAGTCAAGGCTGCAGTGGGCTGTGATCATGCCACTGCACTGCAGCCTGGGTGACAAAGACCCTGTTTCTCAAAAATAAAAAACAAAAAGAAAAACCTCCTTTCTCTGCCCTAAATAACTAAATGACTGACCTTTTAAAGAGGCGCTTAATGTATTTTTCCTTTGACACCTGAAGTCCTAGCTCAAGAGGCTGAGGTGGGGCTAGGTGTGGTGGCTCACGCCTGTAATCCCAGCACTTTGGGAGGCTGAGACAGGCAGATCACTTGAGGTCAGGACTTCAAAACCAGTCTGGCCAACATGGTGGAATCTTGTCTCTACTAAAAATACAAAAAATTAGCCGGGCATGATGGTGGACGCCTGTAATCCCAGTTACTTGGGAGGCTGAGACAGGAGAATCACTTGAACCCAGGAGGCAGAGGATGCAGTGAGCCATGATCACGCTATTGCACTCCAGCCTGGGTGAAAGCAAGACTCTGTCTCAAATAAATAAATAAATAAATAAAATGCAGAGTATCACCCCCCAACATAGAAATACTCAATTAAGTGTTACTTACCATTTTTGTTGTTTTGAAAAAAAGTCAATAGTTCTCCAGGACTCACATACAAATGAGGAGTACGCTGCTTTGTAAACCAAATCCAGAGAAAATGATTTGTTTCAAGCCTAAATACCAGGGTTATAGACTTTGTAAGGAAGAAGCTTACAAATAAATACACACACAAAAAAAAAGAGAGAAATTTTACCTAGCAGAAAAAGAAGTGACAGAAATATCTTCAATTCCTTTCACTGCGGACATGACTTTGTCCAGGTCTTGGCTGTGATTAATGCTGAATTCTACTCGGTGGTTTCCCTCTGTAGGGTAGTTGGGAGCTTTGGAAGGATGTATGGGTCTGGAAGTACAACCTCCTAGAGAAAATAATTGTGGGAAAATGGGAGTTTTGGGGGATGAGAGGTTAAGATTTAAAAGATAAACTATTGTAGGCAAAATTTCTAAGAAATGACTTTTTTAAAAGATTCATTCTCATGCTTATATGATACATACACACACACATACATATCCCTTAGATATACATCACCATTCCCCATAATCTAGGGCTTTGGTATGGACATACAAAGTCAAATTATTTTCAGAATTATTTTCCAAAAGATTCTTAAATCTCTAAAAAACTTGGACAAGAAAGATTGATTCATACATTTTTAGATAATACACAGAACTGTCTACTGCTTGGTAAATCTACCCACATAAACCATTATTCAGGTTGCAAATGCTCGTACTCTATTTGACCATAGTAATCCAGATATCATCATAAAAGCTTCAGCCCAAAACGAGTAAATTAAAGACTTATTAAAGTAAAGCTAAAATGCATATATCATTCCCTCATTGGGCTAGGCATAGGTAAACATTCACTAAAAACATTCATTAAATCCCTGACGTCTATCTACCTGACGTATCAAGTGTATTCTGGAGAGACCTGAGCTTTCAATTCAACAAGCATTTTTCAAGTGCCTAGGTGACAGGCATTGTGCCACAAAAATGAGGAATCACGAAGCTCAGTCCAGTAAGGAAGACTTCTGCTCTCATTCCATAAAGATAAAAAATGTTTCTCTTTTCAAATGCAATTTAACTGCCAAATTTCAGCAAAATTATTTTAAAATGATATAAAAATGGAATGATACCCTTCCCACCCCGAAAGCAGTCAAAACTTTACTGGAAAGACATTCGAAAGTTTCAAAGTATTTGTAGGTAAAATAACAAATATGAAAGCGGCTTCTCACCAAGCCCTTTAGCCAACCAGTTGTTGACTCCCTGGGGTGCAGCATCATAGGCTGTGTGAGGAGAGTAGATAGCCACTCTGTTCTCCAGAGCCCGGATCACCAGGCGCTCCTTCCAGGTGTTCCACGTTATGCGTTTCATGGGTCGGAAGATAGGTGGATGGTAGGAGAGAATGAGGTCTGCCTTCCTCTGCAGCACCTCCTCCATCACTTCCTCAGTCAGGTCATTCGTCAGGAAGAGGGTATTTACAGTATGTGGTGGGCTTGGTTCCACCAGTAATCCAACATTGTCCCAACTCTCAGCAAAGGAGAGGGATGCAAAGTCATTCAAGGAAGAAAGGAGAGCCTTCAAATCCATGAAGGAACGGGAAGAATTGCAGATCAGGGAATCTATAAACCGGACTGTCGTGGGGACCGGGCGTACACAAGATGACAACATACAGAAATCAGGTAAAAGTCGTTTCTGAAGTCAAAACAAAGAAAATGGTACACATGTACACTTTAGGCCTGGATCTTTGAGGCATCAAATCATATGGACAAGAGTTGTCATCATAGAGATCTGGGTTCAAATAGTGGCTCTGCCACTTACCAGCACACTGTAGCTTAGGTAAGCCATTTAACCTCTCTTGTTTTCTCGCCTAGGAAATGGAGATACTATAACCCACCTCACAGGCCATCTAGAGGACCAAATGAATTACATAACCCAGCAGAGCCTGGTATATAATACACAAATGTCCATCCCGTCTCCTGTCTCACACACCTTGTTCTCATTCTTCCCACTCTTGCTTCAACCAACCTTCTCCCTAATCCATTTCTCTAAATATTACCTTCCCTTTTCCCAAGCCCCCTTCAACTTCTTAAATAAAACTTTTCTTGACAAACCTTCCTTTTCAGCATCTTTCCTAAGGCTCCCCACCCCTCAGTGTTCTCAGAATTGCGTGTGTGCTCCATTATGCTGAAGCTACTAGGGAACAGGAACTATCTTTAATAAATCTCGGTATAACCAATATATAAGCCAGCACTAAATGCTAACTGCATAGAATGACCTTGCCTACCTCCCGACTCCCGATTACAACAGAATTTGGAGTTGGGTGGCATATACTGGCATTACAACACACTTTATCAAAAACCAGAATAATGTTTAAAATTTCAAGTGCTTTATCAGCATTAAGAATCAAGGCATACATAGGGAGGTCACTCTACAAATGGGCAGGGTCAAGGCAGGAGAAGGGAGAAGCCACTGCCCGTTAAGCAACATTTGCTACACGAAGGCCAGGCTCAAGAGGTGGGAGGGGGTAAGATATAGAGCACTTTCCCCACACAGCCTGTAAGCCTTCTAAATATCTACATCCAACAAGGAACTGAAAAGGCTGGCAACAAAGGGAAGGTGGGAGGGCAACGGAGAGACAGAAAAAAATTGCTGGCTCCAAAATATGCACAATTAGTAAATGTTTAATCAAATAACTACAAAAGATAATGCTGTCAACCCCATTCTTAAACTTACTACCTATAAACACTTTTTGAAGAAAAGCATAGTCAATTGCAAATTTGATGAAATATCCATAAGCCAATTATTCCACAAGCAATTTTTCTTTTTTTTTTTTTGAGACGGAGTTTTGCTGCTGTTACCTAGACTGGAGTGCAATGGCATGATCTCGGCTCACCGCAACCTCCGCCTTCTGGGTTCAAGCAATTCTCCTCCCTCAGCCTCCCGCGTAGCTGGGACTACAGGCGTGCACCACCATGCCCAGCTAATTTTTTTTTGTATTTTTAGTAGAGACAGGGTTTCACCTTGTTGACCAGGATGGTCTTGATCTCTTGACCTCGTCATCCACCCGGCCTCCCAAAGTGCTGGGATTATAGGCGTGAGCTACCACGCCCGGCCCAATTTTTCAACATTTCTATTTAATGAGATGGGGATGTTTATTTAATGCATTATTTGAAGTAATACAGGGTCTCCAAAAACCACTCAAGGTCTTGAAAGTTTTTGTTTTTTTCATTTTGAGACAGGGATTCACTCGTCACCTAGGCTGGAGTGCAGCGGTGCGGGTTTCAGGTCACCGGAGCCTCGACTTCCTGGCCTCAAACAGATCCTCCCACCTCAGCCTCCTGAGTAACTAGGACTATAGGCGCAGAACACCACACCTGGCTAATTTTTGTATTTTTAGTAGAGATGGGATCTTGCCATGTTGCCCAAGGCTGGTCTCAAACTCCTGCACTCAAGCGATCCACCTTGCCTCGGCCTCCCAGAGTGCTGGGATTACAGGCATGAGCCACTGCGTCCGGCCTTGGAAGATATTCTAATGATCCTCACAGTACTCCGTTCTCCAGCCTCTTCTACATCTGGCAAGCTCGAAAGTGAAACCCTTGCGGGCCGCCATGCAGGTTTTGAGTTATTTACTGTTACAGATGAGGAAACTGAGAGGCTCCATGGCCACTGTCAACAACGACAACAGGAGGCAGCACAGTATGGTGGGAGGGACTCTGAAGTCAGAGTCACAGTTGTGCAACAACAGGCAAATGAGTTATCATCTGCAGTTTCCTCTGGGGCAGCAAATAGTGCCACGGCCACAATATCGCGAGATTCACACGTAAAGCTGGAAACAGCTCTCGTACTAAGGTAAGCACTGTTTTTGCTATTAAGTAGCATCAGCAGGGCCCCTTTGCAGCCTGCAAATCGCTCCCTCTACCTTACCTAATTTTGCCTCATTTCATGTCTTTTCCAGGACAGTGAAAACAGCCAGTAAGTATGAGTAAGGACCCCCAGTACACAGTGCTGTCTCGTGGCGGGGTAGTTTTCTGACCCAATCTCTTCTGCTTGCCTCTGCAGCATCAACATAACAATCACAGCCTGCCCTAACCTGAACCTTCCGCGAAGGTCACAACTACACTCGCGGGTTTTTAAATCGCGCACAACTCACCAGTCCCGGGAACTTCTTACGTCACTTCCGGTCCTGCGTCGGCGCTCGTGGCGCTGTGGTAATGGGTTCCCAGTAGCTGGAAAGCTGGGCGGAAGTGGTCCTTTCAGTTCGGCAACCGAGTGTAAAACATTGCCTGAGGTTACCCGGATAGTTTTGCCTTACGCTTCTTGTCCCAGTGGAATTATTAAGAGCTCCCTTTCACTGTCAAATTTCCGGTGGGGGATAAATTACAGTGTCGTTTTGGTTTGAGAGAGGAAGGAGTGGGGAGGAGAGAGATGAGGCGGTAAGGGGCGTTCTCTCTCTTGGTTCCCGCGCCCAACTTCCGCTGGCCTATAGAAACTATAATTTTGAACCAACAGAACTCTGCTGGCTTGTGCGATTGCATTTTTCCTCTTTTAACAGCGGCTGTGCTAAACGAAGTGGTGAAGCCCAAGTATGGAGCAACGTCATTAATTCTTTCATTCACTTATTCGAATACTTGCTGAGCTCTGTGTTGCTACTGGTTTAGTTCTTGGGATACTGCGAGTGAACAGTGGGCAACGAGGCTGTTGTTGCAACGTGAGAATAAGAGAAGGGCCGGGTACGGTGGCTCACGCTAGTAATCCCAGCACTTTGGAAGGCCGAGCCGGGTGGAACCCCTGTGGCGCGTGCCTGTAATAACACCTACTCGGGAGGCTGAGGCAAGACAATCACTTGAACCCGGGAGGCGGAGGTTGCAGTGATCCGAGATCACGCCACTACACGCCAGCCTGGCGACGGAGCGAGGTTCCGTCTCAAAAATAAAGGGAGAGAAGTTAATAGTATATTAGTAGTAAGTGCTGTGGGAGAAGGAAATAGGAATGTCCTCGGTCTCAAGCAGTTTTATGTAGGGTTGTCAGGTCAGTTAAACTTGACATTTAAGCAGAAATTTGGAGGTGAGGAAATTAGCTGTAGAGATGTCTTGAGTGTAATAAGCATTCCAGGCAAAAGGGACACCCAGTGCCTAGCCCCTAAGGGAAGGTATCTGGCTTACTGGGGGACTTGCAAGGAGGCTCTTGAAGAAGAGCAAGCAGGGCAAGTCGGAGATTGGGAGGCTTGAATCGGGTAGGGTCTCTTATCATTACTCTATAGCTGGGTTTTTATTACATAGGGGATGCCATTAGAAGAATTTTTTTTTGTTGAGACGGAGTCTGTCTCTGTCACCCAGGTTGGCAGTGGCGGGATCTCGCCTCACTGCAACCACCGCCTCCGGGGTTCAAGCGATTCTCCTGCCTCAGCCTCCAGAGTAGCTGAGACTATAGAGAAGTGCCATCACGCCCCGCTAATTTTTGTGTTTTTAATAGAGACAGGATTTCGCCGTGTTGGCCAGGCTGGTCTTGAACTCCTGACCTCAGGCGATCCACCCGCCTTGGCCTCCCAAATTGCTGGGATTACAGGCGTGAGCCACCATTCTGGGCGAGGATTTTTATTTAAAATGTGCAGTAAAGGTGAGTGTGTGTGAATTAGGAAGATAGAAATATGAGCCTAATTCTTTTTTTCTTTTGGGACTAGAGACTTACTTTTGACCCCGCTGTAAGACTCTGAGAAATTACGTAGTCTTTCCTGAAACCACTAAGAGGAAAAATGGTAAGTTTTGACCAATTCTTATGAAATGTCTTTCATTATAAGTAATTTTTAGAAATTCAGTCAAGGGCAATAAAACTGCATGGGAATTGCAGTGAGAAGATGGAGAAATTGTACGCTATAGAAGCATTTAATATGAAATATTTCTTTTAAAAATACACAAAGTTACTTTAAAATTCTTTTTTTTTTTTTTTTGAGACGGAGTTTCGCTCGTTACCCAGGCTGGAGTGCAACGGCACGATCTCGGCTCACCGCAACCTCCGCCTCCTGGGTTCAGGCAATTCTCCTGCCTTAGCCTCCTGATTAGCTGGGATTACAGGCACGCGCCACCATGCCCAGCTAATTTTTTTTTTTTTTTTTTTTTTGTATATTGGGTAGAGACCGGGTTTCACCATGTTGACCAGGATGGTCTCAATCTCTTGACCTCGTGATCCACCGCCTCGGCCTCCCAAAGTGCTGGGATTACAGGCTTGAGCCACCGCGCCCAGCAGGAATTATTTTTTAACCCTATTTCTCAGAATTAAATTACCTAAGGAAAATGGTGGCAATTATATTTTGAAAAATCATTTTCTCATTATTTTTCTGTAAATAAAGATGCTGGTGAATTGCCATATAAATCAATAATACATAACAATTGTTTTTATTTTTCTTGATGAAAAAAATTCAGAGTTAAAATAATTATTTCCATCAAAATGTTTACTTCCAAATTTTTATCATGGATACTACTTAACCCTAACATTTATATTCTGGAGTTTTTTCTCGCCTGTTGAGATACATTTTGAGGAAAAAGTGCAACTTATCTCTAATTGTTATGTATTATTTATATATATGCAATTCACCAATATCCTTTGTGGATGGGTCATCTCTGAAGCAGTATCTCTGTCTCTTTTATTCAGATTATCATCTTGAATATCCATTTAGGGGAATAATATAATGCATAAGTCACCTGAAGAAATTTCATTTGTTCTCACATTTTCTCTCCTTTTTAGTCTGTGACATTGCATACAGATGTAGGTGATATTAAAATTGAAGTCTTTTGTGAGAGGACACCCAAAACATGTGAGGTAAGTACCATTATTTACATATGAAACATCAGTTAATACAACAAGGTAACCATTTTGGAATTGAATAATCTAACCTAAACAACAACAACAACAACAAAACTTTCTGTAAAACCATTGTTAGGAAAAACTAACCATCAAAACTTCTGATCTGATTTCCACTTATTTGTCTAATCCCAAAGGTGGAACAAAGAGAAGGCAGATAATTTTTCTGTAATGTTAGAGTAGCCAGTATCATTTTCTTTGGACTCATTTTCCTCAGGAAACATAATCATTAGGATTATATATGTGTATGTATGTGTGTGTGTGTGTGTGTGTGTGTGTGTGTGTATGTGTGTGTGTGTATATATATGTGTGTGTGTATATATATATATATTTTATTTTTTGGAGACAGAGTCTTGCTCTGTCGCCCAGGCTAGAGTGCAGTGGTGCTATCTCAGCTCACTGCAACCTCTACCTCTCAGGTTCAAGTGATTCTCCAGCCTCAGCCTCCTGAGTAGGTGAAATTACAGGCTCATGCCATCATGCCTGGCTAATTTTTGTACTTTTAGTAGAGATGCAGTTTCACCACGTTGGCCAGGCTGGTCTCAGACTCCTGAGCTCAGGTGATCCACTCACTTCAGCCTCCTCAGGTGCTGGGATTACATATGAGCCCCCATGCCCGGCCTTCCTTCCACCCATGGAGTCTTGCTCCGTCATCCAGGCTGGAGTGCAGTGGCCCGATCTTGGCTCACTGCAACGTCTGCTTCTCAAATTCAAACAATTCTGCTGCCTCATCCTCCCAAGTAGCTAGGACTACAGGCACCTGCCACCATGCCTGCCAAATTTTTGTATTTTTTTAGTAGAGACAGGGTTTCACCATGTTGGCCAGGCTGGTCTTGAACTCCTGACCTCAGGTAATCCACCTGCCTTGGCCTCCCAAAGTGCTGGGATTACAGGTGTGAGCTTCCACGCCCAGCCAGGATATTATATTAAAGAATTGTTGTATACTTCCTTTTTTTTTTTTTTTCAAAACAGGGTCTTGCTGTGCCAGCCTGGCTGGAGTGCAGTGGTGCAATCACAGCTCATTGCAGCCTCAACCTAATGGGCTCAAGCAATACCTTGGCCTCCCAAGTAAATGGGACTACAGGTGCTACCATGCTAAGCTAATTTTTTTTTCCTTTTTTTTTTTTTTTGGTAGAGATGAGGTCTCACTATGTTGCCAAGCTGATCTCGAACTCCTGGTCTCCAGCCATCCTCCTGCCTCAGCTTCCCAAAGTGTTGGGATTACAGGTGTGAACCATCATGCCTGGCCTGTTCTATACATTATTTCACCTGTATATTGTCATTTATTTGAGACACAGTTTTGTTCTTGTTGCCCAGGCTGGAGTGCAGTGGTGCAGTCTTGGGTCACTGCAACCTCCACCTCCCAGATCCAAGGGATTCTCTTGCCTCAGCCTCCTGAGTAGCTGGGATTACAGGCATGCACCACAATACCTGGCTAATTTTGTATTTTTAGTAGAGATGGGGTTTCACTATGTTGATCAAGCTGGTCTTGAACTCCTAATCTTAGGCGATCCACCCATCTTGGCCTCCCAAAGTGTTGGGATTACAGGCATAAGCCACCACACCTGGCCTGTTTCACCTGTGTTTTTTTTTTTTTTTTTTTTTGAGACGGAGTTTCACTTTTGTTACCCAGGCTGGAGTGCAATGGCACGATCTTGGTTCACCGCAACCTCTGCCTCCTGGGTTCAGGCAATTCTCCTGCCTCAGCCTCCTGAGTAGCTGGGATTACAGGCACACGCCACCGTGCCCAGCTAATTTTTTGTATTTTTAGGAGAGATGGGGTTTCACCATGTTGACCAGGATGGTCTCGATCTCTTGACCTCGTGATCCACCCACCTCAGCCTCCCAAAGTGCTGGGATTACAGGCTTGAGCCACCGCGCCCAGCCTGTTTCACCTGTTTAAATGACAAGGATAGAAGGAAGAAGAGTCAGCTGTATATATTCATTATTCAACAATTATTTATGTCTGGGTACAGTGGCTCACATCTATAATCTCAGCACTTTGGGAGGCTAAGATGGCAAGATCACTTGAGTTCAGAAATTCTAGACCTCCTAAGACGACATAGTGAGACCCCATCTCTACAAAAAAATACAAAAATTAGCCAAGTGTGGTGGTGTGCGCCTATTGCCCCAGCTACAAGGGAGGCCAAGGTGGGAGGATTGCTTGAATCTGGAGGGTCAAGGCTATAGTGAACTCTGATCACATTGCTGCACTCCAACCTAGGTGACAGAGTAAGACCCTGTCTCAAAACAAAACAAAACAAAAACCCATTATTTATGAAAGGCCATCTTGTCCCAGAGTCTGGGGAAACAGTGATCAACAGACATTCCTTACCCTCATGAATCCAATATTCTAGTTGGAAAAATAAGCAGGGCAAGAAAATTAAATACTTCTTTTTTAAAAAGTTATTTTTATTTATATATATATTTTTAAAGATAGAGACAAGCTCTTACTGTGTTGCCCAGGCTGGTCTTGAACTCCTGGACTTAAGTGATCTGCCCACCTCCCAAAGTGCTGGGATTACAGGTGTGAGCCACTGCGCCTGGCCTAAAATTAAGTAATTCTAAAAGATGATAATGCCTTGAAAAAAACTAAGTGTTGAGATAGAGAATAATAGGAAAGGAAGAAGGTGAGGGGAGGCCTAGCCAAGAAACTAATACTTAAACTGAATGTGAAGGTGTGAGGGCATCTCCATGGAAAAAGGTATAAAAAGAATATTCCAGGTATTCAGAGTTGTGAAATAAAATTTAAAAAAATTCTAAGGCCAGGCACGGTGACTCACACCAGTAATTCCAGCACTTTGGGAGGCTGAGGCAGGAGGATCATTTGAGCCCAGGAGTTCAAGGCCAGCCTGGGCAACATAGGGAGACACTGTCTCTACAAAAAAAGACAACATTCCCGGTATAGAAATATCAGGTACAAAGTCCCCAAGGTGGGAAATCCTGTCCCTTTTGGGTTGTCAGAATGCTGATGGGTTTAAGTAGTAAGCAATAAGAAAGCAGTTCTTAGTATATGTGATGGAGAGATAAGCCAGGTGCTGCAGGGCTTGTTAGGCCCTGCTGAAGATTTTCATTTTATTCCAAGAGCAGAAGGAAGCTATTGAAGTGTTTTAGGCAAGGAAGTGACATCCAAATAATGCCAAAAGTCATAGTTTAAATATGCTGCTATAGTGTTTTCAGTAAATATGATTGGTTCTTTGCCTTAACTGGGTTTCTTCTGCATCATTTCTCAATCATTATTTTTACTCTCTTCAGAATTTCTTGGCTCTTTGTGCCAGTAACTACTACAATGGCTGTATATTTCATAGAAATATCAAGGGTTTCATGGTTCAAACAGGAGATCCAACAGGTAAGTTATTCCATTAACTAAGATCCAAGGAACTGAATATATAGTATGAAGCAGTGGGTAAAAGAAGAATTTAAAATGTGGATGGGTGTGTGTGTGTTTCAGTTCTGTTCTACAAGTGCAGAACATGTAGGTTTGTTACATAGGTATATCTGTGCCATGGGGGTTTGCTGCACCTATCACCCTGTCATCTAGGTTTTAAGCCCCGCATGCATTAGCTATTTGCCCTAATGTTCTCCCTCCCCTTATCCCCCATCCCCCTACTAGCCCTGCTGTGTTTTGGTCCTCTCCCTGTGTCCATGTGATCTCATTTTTCAACTCCCACTTACGAGTGAGAACATACGGTGTTTAGTTTTCTGTTCCTATGTTAGTTTGCTAAGAATGATGGCTTCCAGTTACATCCATGTCCCTGCAAAGGACATGATCTCATTCCTTTACACAGCTGCATAGTATTCCATGATATAATTTTAAAGCAGAAATTATTAGCACCTACCCCTAAAATATAAACAATATTTTGCTCACTTTGACAGCACATATACTAAACTTTGCATGATACAGAGAAGATTAGCATGGCCTCTGCACAAAGATAAGATGCAAATTTGTGAAGATTTTCATATTAAAAAATACATATGAACAGTATTTATAAGAAGGGTTATTCTTTTTTGTTTTTTTAGGTCTATTTTAATCTTCAGGTCTGTGAAGTTAAATTTGGGGAATTAGGAAAGGCCATGTCAAATTTTATATATGTGTGTGTGTGTGTGTGTGTGTGTGTGTGTATTTTTTTTTTTTTTGGAAACCAAGTCGTGCTCTGTTGCCCAGGCTGGAGTGCATTGGCACAATCTCAGCTCACTGCAACCTCTACCTCCTGGGTTCAAGCAATTCTTCTGCCTCAGCTTCCCTAGTAGCTGGGACTACAAGTGCATGCCTCTACACCCAGCTAATTTTTTTGTGTTTAGTAGAGACGGGGTTTCACCATGTTACCCAGGCTGGTCTCGAACTCCTGAGCTCAGGCAATCCATCCGCCTCAGCCTCCCAAAGTGCTAGGATTCTATAATCCTAGAGCCACCGTGCCTGGCCAAATTTTATTTATATTTAAGCAGTTGTACTATAAAGTATTCCTGAAGTTTTGGGAAATGAGCTTGTTTTCTATTTTAATTAAATACTTCTTTTGATTTTCTTGCCTTGTAATATAGGTACTGGAAGAGGAGGTAACAGTATCTGGGGCAAGAAGTTTGAGGATGAATACAGTGAATATCTTAAGGTAAATCCTCAATTCTTTAAAAATCTATGTTCTCATGCCTTGGTTATGCTTGGAAACTTTGATACATATGTTGTAGTAATACAAGTTAACATAATTGCAAAATGAATACACTTTTTTATAGTTTTTGTACATCTGACAAATAATGTCAGGGAGACTTGATAAATAGTGGTCCTATCCTAACATGTGTACTAGAGTCTCACCACCACATGACTCCTGATATTAAGTGAGTTCATCTTTGAATCTAACCTGAAATGTTTAACTAGTAATGTACCAAAGGGGCTTAATATCTCACCATAAAATTCATGTTGAATGACATGAAACAGTAGCCTTTTTTGAGAGTGGGGAGGAAAGATTATCAAACTTCCTGGTTGCAGTGTTACCCATTATCAGTGCCCAGCTTTTATCATCTTCTGTTGGATGTTTGAACATTCCTGTATTAACTTGACTTGATACCTGTGGTAGATCGCAACTAGGTTAAAGAGAAGTGCATATAGTCTTCACCATGGTAAAATTAGGGATTTTTAATTTTCTTTGTTATGTTTTTCTGTATTTTTCAAACCTCTATGGAGTCATTTTTTTTGTCTAAAATTTAAAAACTAGTGCATGCCTATTTTTAACAATCAGTTCCACTTCCCAGAGATAACTTCAGTTAATGATTTATTGTGTGGTCTTTCATACTTTGTATCTGCATAGAATCATAACTTTATGATTAGAAAAAGAGTGATAAAGTATCCTCAGTCAGGACTGGGTACAGTAATCCCAGCACTTTGAGAGGCCCAGTCAGGAGGATTGCTTGAGGCCAAAAATTTGAAACCAGCCTGGGCAACATATTGAGACCCCCCATCTCTACAAAACAAAAAACAAATATTAGCCTGTTGTAGTGGTATGTGCCTGTAGTCCCAGCTACTCAAGAGTCTGAAGCAGGAGGATTGCTGGAGCCCAGGAGATCAAGACTGTAGAGAGCCAAGATCATGATCAGAACAAGACCTTGTCTCAAAAAAAAAGTGTACTCAATCAAAATACGCAGTTTAAGTGTATTATGTTTCCATTACATCAAAATATACAAAAATTCTGAAAAAAAAATCATTGCAGTGTTTATCTCTGGATGATGAGACTAGGAGTAATTTCTTTTCTTTTTTTGTTTTTTTAACTTTTTTTAGAGACAGGATCTTGCTCTGTCCCCAGGCTGGAGTGCAGTGATGCAGTCTTGACTCACTGCAGTCTAAATTTTCTGGCCTCAAGTGATCCTCCCACCTCAGCCTCCAGAGTAGGTGGGTCGACGGGTGCATGCCACCATGCCCAGGTGATGTTTGTATTTTTTGTACAGATGGTGTCTCACTATGCTGCCTAAACTGGTTTCTTTTACTCTTCTATTATAAGGAAGTATATTAGTTTTGTTACAGGAGTTGAGGCTGGGAGGTGATAAACTTTTTGAAAAGTAAACTTTTTCCTGAATGAATAAACAATTATTTATGTATTAATTACTACTTTAATGACCGCTTTCATATTCCAGTTGAAAACCAGAGATTGGCTGTGACAGAATCACCTGTGGAAGTTTTTTGTTTCTTTTTGAGACTGGGTCTCACTCTGTTGCCTAAGCTGAGTGCAGTGGTCTGATCACGATTTACTGCAGCCTTGACTACCTGAGCTCAAGCAGTTTCTCCTGCCTCAGCCTCTCAAGTAGCTGGACTGCAGGAGTGCATCACCATGCCTAGCTAATTTCTGATTTTTTGTAGAGATGAGGTCTCACTCTGTTGTCCAGTCTGGTCTGAAACTCCTGGACTCAGATGATTCTCTTGTCTTGACCTCCCAAAATGTTGAGATTACAGGAGTGAGCCACTGCACGTGGCTGGAAGTTTTAAAACTATAACAGATCACAGCCTTACCCTAAAAATAAACAGTCAATAGGGCTGATTAGGACTTTGACTATATTTTAAGGTTCCTGGATGATTCTTTTGCAGCCAGAGTTGAAAACCATTATATATTATATACCTTATACACCAAGGTTATGGATATGTATTGTCTGTTCATATATTCTGACTCAAGAATTCCATTCCCAAATGTTTACTTGAGAGAAACTTGTAAGCATGTACCAAGAGACATGTACAGGAGTGTTCAGATGTATTGTTTGTAACAGCAAGTATAGAAACAACTGAAATGTCCATTGATTATAGAATGGATATTTTGCGTATTCAGTAGTGAAATATCGCATAGTAGTAAAAAAAAATTAGCTGTATATACATGCACAACCTTAGAAATGTAACAGTGTTATTTGTAAAAAGCATTTCCCAGAAGATTAAAATGTTATACTACAGAAGGAAAAGGAAAAATTGTGTTGTTCAGGCATGTGTAAATATGTTAGGGCTAGGCATAGTGGCTCACTCCTAAAATCCCAGCATTTTAGGGGGCCGAGGTGAGAGGACCACTTGAGGTCAGGAGTTTGAGATCAGCCTGGGAAACATATTGAGCCCTTGTCTCTACTAAAGTTAAACAATTAGCCAGGTATGGTGGTGTATATCTGTAGTCCCAGCTACTCAGGAGGCTAAGGTGGGAGGATTGCTTGAGCCTAGAAGGTCAAGGCTACAGTGAGCTATGATTGCACTACTGCACTCCAACCTGGGTGACAGAGCGATACCCTGTCTCTAGAAAAAAATGAAAAAAGGCTGGGCTTGGTGGCTCACACCTGTAATCCCAGCACTTTGGGAGGCCGAGGTGGGTGGATCCAAGGAGTTCAAGACCAGCTTGACCAACATGGTAAAACGCCATCTCCAAAAAAGAAAGAAAAAAAATGTATTAGAATATGGTTTATTAGTTACCTCTTGTAGAGGCTGAGGTAATAGATGGAGAGGAGCACATAAATATATATGATTAATTGATAACTTTTTTTTGAACTCCCATTATTTATTATTTTTTAATTGCATTTTCGGTTTTGGGGTACATGTGAAGAACATGCAAGATTGTTGCATAGGTACACATGTGGCAGTGTGATTTGCTGCCTTCCTCCCCTTCACCTATATCTAGCATTTCTCCCCATGCTATCTCTCCCCAACTCCCCACCCCCCGCTGTCCCTCCCCTGTTTCCCCCCAACACACCCTAGTGTGTTATTATTTATTTATTTTTTGAGTCGAAGTTTCACTCTTGTTGCCCAGGCTGGAGTGCAATGGCATGATCTTGGCTCACTGCAACCTCTACCTCCCAGGTTCAAGTGTTTCTCCTGCCTCAGCCTCTCAAGTAGCTGAGATCACAGGTGCCCACTACCGTGGCCAGCTAATTTTGTATTTTTTTAGTAGAGACGGGGTTTCACAATGTTGGTCAGGCTGGTCTCAATCCCCTGACTTCAGGTGATCTACCCACCCCGGCCTCCCAAAGTGGGAGATTACAGGCGTGAGCCACTACACCTGGCCAGAGTTCCCATTACTTAATGAATTGGTAAATTTTAACTCTGAAAGCTGGGAAATATGTTAATGGGTGCTTATTTTATTAACTTTTATTTATTATTAACTTTTTTGTGTGTCTGTATTAAATGTTGTATATGTATTAAATATTACATTGTATATGTATTAAATATCACATTGTGTGTATATTTGGTATATATATATCAAGTGTAATATTATATTTGATTGGTAAATAACTTTTAGAGAGACAAGCATTAATATTTCAATATAGCTGCATCTTGGCATGGTGCAGTGGCTCATACCTGTAATCCCAGCACTTTGGGAGGCTGAGGCAGGTGAATCACCTGAGGTTGGGAGTGTAAGACCAGCCTGACCAACATTGTGAAACCCCATCTTTACTAAAATTACTAAAATTAGCCAGGTATGGTAGCAGGCACCTGTAATCCCAGTTACTCAGGAGGCGGAGGCAGGAGAATCACTTGAACCCAGGAGGAAGAGGTTGTAGTGAGCAAAGATCACGGCATTGTACTCTTGTTGCCCAAAAAGAGCAAAACTCAGTCTCAGAAAAAAAACCACAGAGCTGCATCTCTATAGCTTGTTAGTGTCACCTAATGAATAGCTAAAGCTAGAGTAATTGGTGGAGTTACTTGTAGTGTGTTACAGGCACCTCCTTGTAACATAATTCACAGTTATATCTTCATTCTTGTCAGTAAAGTCCTTTTAATTTTATACACAGTCTCTTGTAAACAAATATTATCATAATAGCAGAGATGGGTGAGACCTTTCTTAGATCATTCAGTCCTGGGGTTATAAACACTGCCCATGAGTGGAACACCCACAGATGCATTATGCATAGCCATTAGTTAAAAGAAAAAATGTTTAATGCCATTAGTCAAGAGAGAGCCTTTATGACCCAAACACTAATGGATCTCATTTTGCCAGACTTCATTTCTCTTTAATGTTTACACTCTGCCCAATTGTCAGTTTCTCTGCTTGACCCTTGTCAGCATCTAAATTGTTAACTAGACACTTGACCTAGTCCAACCTCCCTTGTTTTACAGAAAGAAACTAGTGAGAGTCCATTGTATGTGAGAAGAGATTGTGGGCATTTTGGTTTTGTTGTCTGCGTGATTGTTTCATTCCAGCACATTATTCCTTAATATAAATGTAAGGATTAATTTTATTATTTGTTGGCATTGAAAAAAGTGTCCGTGGCTCTATTTCTTCAAAGTGAAAATGAAATTAATTGAGAAATATTATTTGAAATTTTAACTTTTTACATACAAGTTTTCAAGAATAAAGAAAAGGTAGAAACTGAACATTTAGGCCAGGCATAGTGGCTCATGCCTGTAATCCCAGCACTTTGGAGGCCAAGGCGGGTGGATCATTTGAGGTCAGGAGTTGATCAGCCAGACCAACAGGGTGAAACCCAGTGTCTACTAAAAGTACACAAAAATTAGCCAGGCAACCCAGTCTCTACTAAAAGTACAAAAAAATTAGCCAGGCATGGTGGTGCACGCCTGTTGTCCCAGCTACTTGGGAGGCTGAGGCAGGAGAATCACTTGAACCCAGGAGGTAAAGGTTGCAGTAAGCCTAGATCGCACGACTGCGTTCCAGGCTGGGCAACAGAATGAGACTCTGTCTCAAAAAAGAATGAAAGAAAGAAAGAAACTGAACATTTAGATTAGCCCTAATAGAAGTTCATTAAATGTTTTTCTTGCTCCCTTAAATATTGTGAAGGTAATGAGTGAATGTCTTGGCTGGGTGTAGTGATGCACAGCTGTAATCCCAACGCTCTGGAGGTGAAGGCAGGAAGATCACGAGAGCCCAGGAGTTAGAGACCCGCCTGAGCAACATAGTGAGACCCCCGTCTCAAAATACTTTTAAAGAAGAAAGCAGGGCCGGGCGCGGTGGCTCAAGCCTGTAATCCCAGCACTTTGGGAGGCCAAGGCGGGTGGATCACGAGGTCAAGAGATCGAGACCATCCTAGCCAACATGGTGAAACCCCGTCTCTACTAAAAAATACAAAAATTAGCTGGGCATGGTGGCGTGTGCCTGTAGTCCCAGCTACTCGGGAGGCTGAGGCAGGAGAATTGCTTGAACCCGGGAGGCAGAGGTTGCAGTGAACCGAGATTGTGCCACTGCACTCCAGCCTGGCACCTGGCAACAGAGTAAGACTCTGCCTCAAAAAAAAAAAAAGAAAGCAAAGGTGTGCCTGTCTTGTTTCAATCCTATATTTGGGATGGTTATATACAAGGCTGGGTGTGGTGGCTCACGCCTATAATCCCAGAACTTTGGGAGGCCAAGGCAGGCGGATCACGAGGTCAGGAATTTGAGACCAGCATGGCCAACATGGTGACACTCTATCTCTACTAAAAAATACAAAAAAAAAAAAAAATTAGCTGGGCATGACAGTACACACCTGTAGACCTAGCTACTTGGGAGGCAGAGGCAGGAGAATCACTGCAACCCAGAATGTGGAGGTTGCAGTGAGCAAGCCGAGATTATGCCACTGTACTCCAGTCTGGGTGACAGAGTGAGACTTAATCTCAAAAAAAACCCAAAAACAAACAAAAAAAACCACAATTAAATTAATACTTTGGTGTGTCTTTTTCAGCACAGTGTTAGAGGTGTTGTATCTATGGCTAATAATGGCCCAAACACTAATGGATCTCAATTCTTCATCACCTATGGCAAACAGCCACATTTGGACATGAAATACACGGTATTTGGGAAGTGAGTATTCTGGTTATGGTTTTCTCTTAGCATTTCAATACAAGTGGTGCATATGCTCGGTTGTGATAGTAGCATAACTAATATTGAAAAGAGTGACACTAGGTGTGGTGCCTCACACCTACAATCCCAGCACTTTGGGAAGCCAAGGTGGGTGGATCATCTGAGGTCAAGAGTTCTAGACCAGCCTGACCAACATGGCTGAACCCTATCTCTACTGAAAATATTTTTTAAAAATTAGCCAGGTATGGTGGCACATACCTGTAGTCCCAGCTATTTGGGAGTGTGAAGCAGGAGAATTGCTTGAACCTGGGAGGCAGAGGTTGCAGTGAGCCATTGTACTCCAGCCTGGTGACAGAGTAAGACTCCATCTCAAAAAAAGACTGCCTCAAAAAACAAAACAAAAAAAAGAGCGGTGTGAGAGCTAAATGTATTTGGAGTTTAAGTCTACCACTTAGCAACCCTATGACCCTGGGAAAATTATAATTTCCCTGAACCTTATTTTCCTTATTTTGTAGAAGAGAAGCCAGTAATATTTGAAATATTGTTATGCAAATTAACATAGTTTATCTATTTTTTTCCAGAGATGGGGTCTCACTATGTTGCCCAGGCTGGAGTGCAGTGGCTATTCACAGGCATGATCCCACTACTGATCAGCACGGGAGTTTTGACCTGCTCCATTTCTGACCTGGGCTGGTTCACCCCTCCTTAGGCAACCTGGTGGTCCCCCGCTCCCAGGAGGTCACCATATTGATGCCAAACTCAGTGTGGACACCCGATTGGCATAGCACACTATAGCCCAGAACTCCTGGGCTCAAGTGATCCTCCCACCTCAGCCTCCTGAGTAGCTGGGACTACAGGCATGTGCCACTGTGCCTGGCCTTTTTTTTTTTTTTTTTGAGACACAAGGCTTTGTCGCCAGGCTGGAGTGCAGTAGTGCAATCACAGCTCACTGCAGCCTCAACCTCTCAGGCTCAAGTGATCCTCCCACCTCAGCCTCCTGAGTAACTGGAACCATGTGCACCATCATGGGCAACTAATTTAAAAAAAACAAACATTTTTTGTAGAGACAAGGTCTCACTTTGTTGCCCAGGCTCATCTATTTTTATTAATAATAGCATTTCACAGCAACTAACAGATCTGAAAAATAGTGGCTTAAACAAGATGGACTGGCATGGTGGTTCCATTATGTTACCAGTGTTCTGGGCACTTCTGTTACAATATTGGCAGCACAGCTCTTGTAAAAACTTCTGTGTATCAGGCAGTAAGGAGGAGGAAAGACAAAAGGTATTTGCCAGCTGATTCAGCTTTTTTTTTTTTTAAGAGACAGGGTTTCTCCACGTTGGTCACGTTGGTCTCGAACTCCCAACCTCAGGTGATCCGCCTGCCTCGGCCTCCCAAAGCGCTGGGATTACAGGCATGAGCCACTGTGCACAGCCCAGCTTTTTTAATTAACAAAACTTTCCCAGGCCTGTAATCTCAGTGCTTTGGGAGGCTGAGATAGGAGGATCACTTGAGGCCAGGAGTTCAAGACAGACCAGCCTGTACAACATAGCAAGAACCCATCTCTACAAAAAAAATTTAAAAATTAGCCAGGTGTGGTGACACACACCTGTAATCCCAGCTGCTCGGGAGGCTGAGGTGAGAGAATCACTTGATCCCAGAAGTTTAAGGCTGCATGAGCTAGGATCACACCACTGTAGTCCAGCCTGGGCAACAGAATGATAATGATACCCTATCCCTAAATAAATAAATAAATAAATAAATAAATAAAGCAAGCCAGACCTGGTGTCTCACTCAGTAATCCCAGCACTCTGGGAGGCCAAGGAGGGCAGATCACAAGGTCAGGAGATCAAGATCATCCTGGCCAACATGGTGAAACTCCAGCTCTACTAGAAATAGAAAAATTAGCTGGGTGTGGCGGTGCATGCCTGTAATCCCAACTACTTGGGAGGCTGAGGCAGGAAGATATCTGGCTTGAACCCGGGAGGTGATTGCAGTGAGCTGAGATCACACCACTGCACTCCAGCCTAACACACAGAGGGAGACCATGTCTCAAACAACAACAACAAAAACAACTTTCCCAGACGACCCAGAACTTGGTAATGTGATCAGACACATTGCCACCCTTACTAAAATTAGATTTCTCTGAGTAAGAAGAATGGCTCCTAGGAAGGTTTTTAGCAGTTTATGCCAGGGTTTTTGTTAAAAGTACTATATCTGGGAGTTGCTTTTGTAAATCACTGGGAAGTAAATTTGTTCATTCAACAAAGAATTACCATGCTTAATAAACCAAGGCACAATTCTAGAGTTCATTCTATTTAATAGTTTGGATGCCAAGTTAGGTTAATTAAAAATAGAGGACTCCTGGCCTAGGCAACATAGTGAAACCCTGTCTTAAAAATTAGACAGGTGTGGTGGCTCATGCCTATGGTCCCAGCTACTTGGGAGGCTGAAGTTGGAGGATTGCTTGAGCTCAGGGGGTCAAGGCTGCTGAGTTTGATTGTGCCACTGGACTCTAGCCAGGATAACAGAGCAAGACTCTATTTAAAAAAAAAAAATAGAGGACTCTACATCTTTTCATTTTCATTCCATATACATGTGTCTAATTTACATATTAATAATAATTAAGGAAAAAATAAATATTACAATATCTAGTGGTTTTTTGTGTGTTTGTAAATAACCCAGTTTCCCTTTTATTTTCTCCTTTAACCCATCATTCAAAATTATTGTTCAGTTATTACCAGGACTTATTTTACTGGATTTGTGACCAAACTATAGAGTTTAGAACAAAGATTAACCCTAGGTTTGTTAATTCCTTACAGTTGTGTGTTGTATACATATGCACGCACATTTTTCTGGGAAGATGGTCCAGTAGCTTTCCTCTAGTTCTCCTAGGGGTCCATGTCCCAGACACTTGACTCTACTTAAACTGCCTGAGTTCTTCCTGCCGGGGTTTTTTTTTTAACTTTTTACCTGAGACCTATGTTTTCTACATTATCTGTTTCTCTTACTGACTTATAATTTAAAGACTTAAATGTCTACGTTTAGGGGTAAAATCAAAATGTTTTGGTTGAAGTACCCTTTTTGTGAAAATGCAAAATAAAATTCAAATCTGTTAATTTTTTAAAGTACATACCACTGCTTGAGAATCCCTAATCTGAAAATTGAGAATTAGGAACTTATTGCGCACTGACAGGATACCACAAGTAGAAAATTCCACATCTGACCTCATGTAACAGTTGCAGTCAAAATGCAGTCAGATGGCCAAGTGTGGTGGCTCACTCCTTTAATCTCAGCACTTTGGGAGGCCAAGGGGGTGGATTATTTGAGGTCAGGAGTTCAAGACCCACCTGGCCAACATGGTGAAACCCTGTCTTTACTAAAAATATTTAAAAAATTAGCCGGGCATGGAGCAGCTACTTGGGAGGCAGGAGAATCACTTGAACCCAGGAGGCAGAGGTTGCAGTGAGCCAAGATTGCACCATTGCACTCCAGCCTGACAGAGCGAGACTCTGCCTCAAAAAAAAAAAAAAAAAAAAAAAATCCCAAATGCTGTCAGACCTTTGTTTCATACAAAATTTTTAAAAAAATATTGTATAAAATTACCTTCAGCCTATGTGTATAAGATATATATGAAATATATGTATATATATTTGAAATATAAGTGAATTTTGTGTATAAATTTGGGTCCTATCCCTAAGATATATAATTATGTAGATATTTCCAAATGTGAAAATATTCAAAATCCAAAATACTTCTGGTCCCAATAAGGGTTATTCAACCTATATAAATCTTGGGAATTGATTTGAATTATACATGGAGGAATAATCTAGAAAGCCACTCTTAGCAAATGTTTTAGACCGAAATTTCCAAAACTTGTATTCGAAGAATAGCTCTCAATATATTTTTTCTTGGTGGTAACATGAAGTGGGCTTGCTGAAGGCTGAGTTAACTGTCAGCCTTCTCTTTTCCTATTTTATTACTTCTTGTTGCTATCCAAAAACAAAAAGTAGAAATACTAAAATTAGGCCGGGCGCGGTGGCTCATGCCTAATAATGCCAGCCCTTTGGGAGCTGAGGTGGGCAGATGATTTGAGGTCAGGAGTTCGAGACCAGCTTGGCCAACATGGTGAAATCCCTTCTCTACTAAAAATATAAAAATTAGCTGGGCATGATGGCATATGCCTGTAGTCAGTCCCAGCTGCTTGGGAGGCTGAAGCAGAATTTCTTGAACCTGGAGGCAGAGGCTGCAGTGAGTTGTGATCGTGCCGCTCTACTCCAGCTTGGGCAATGGGAGTGAGACTCCATCTCAAAAGAAAGAAAGAAAGAAATACTATAATTAAACAATTAAGTAGAAAGTATAGTGGTCACCTACTTCAGGACTCTTATTGTAGGGCAATATTGCTAATGGTGTAAACTACATACTTTTTCGTTTGTTTGTTTTGTTTTGAGATGGAGTCTTGCTCAGTCATCAGGCTAGAGTGCAGTGATACAATCTCGGCTCACTGCAACCTCCACCTCCTGGATTCGAGGGATTCCCCTACCTTAGCCTCCTGAGTAGCTGGGACTACAGGTGTGTGCCACCACGCCCAGCTAGTTTTTTGTATTTTAGTAGAGATGGGTTTTCACCATGTTGGCCAGGATGATCTCAATCTCCTGACCTCATGAGCCACCGCGCTCAGTCAGTGTCATCTACTACTTTCTCCAGGTATTTCCTATAGCAAAGAAATCCTCATGACTAGTGTATTGTAATAAGAAATACATATTTGGACTTCATCCTTGGTTTCTAGAATAGTTCCTTTTTATTTCTAAAACATTATTTTATTGTTATACATTAATAATACTATATGGTTATGTATATGAGTCATAAAGTAATTGGAATATTTAGAGGAGCAAAATCAAGAAAACTCCAGCAATCCTATCGCCCAGTGTCTAGCATAGTTATTTTTTTTTTTTTTTTGAGACAGAGTCTCGCTCTATTGCCAGGCTGGAGTGCGATCCCAACTTACTGCAACTTCTGTTTTCTGCTTTCAAGCAATTCTCCTGCCTCAGCCTCCGGAGTAGCTGGGACAACAGGCACACACCACCACGACCAGCTGATTTTTTGTACTTTTAGTAGAGATGAGGTTTCACCATGTTGGCCAGGGTGATCTTGATCTCTTGACCTCGTGATCCACCCACCTTGGCCTCCCAAAGTGTTGGGATTACAGGCATGAGCCCCCGCGCCCGGCTAGCATAGTTCTTTTGGAAAACCTTGCAATTTCCTGAGTGACAGGAGTGAAAGGAATATTTTGTTGTTCATAACAAGCTCCGTTCAACCATACCTGAGTTTATGCTAATGAGGTGACTTTTGGTGGGGCCTCTAGATAGCTTCAGAATGGGAGAGGTGGCTGGTTGCTAGAGGAATCAGCCATGTATTTTTAGAGGACTGGAACATTCACTGACCTCCTCACTGACCTCCTATTCTTGACCTCTGGGAAGGAGAGATGGGCCAGAGATTTCGTTCTAGTCACCAGTGGCCAGTGATTTAATTAATCATGCCTACCTGAGGTGCTCTCCATTAAAAACCCTGAAGGGTTTGAGAGCTTCCAGGTGGCTGAACGAACACATGTAGATACTGAGAGGGTAACACACCCCAAGAGAGCATGGAAGTGCTATGCCCCTCTCTCAGACTTTGCCCTATGCATCTTTTCCATTTGGTTGTTCCTGAGTTGTAACCTTTATAATAGCCCATATAATAAAGTGCTTTCCTAAGTTCTGTGAGCCACTTTAGAAAATTATTGAACAGAGCTGGGGGCATGAAAAATCCCAGATTACATCTGGTTGGTCAGATAGTACGGAATCACAACCGGGACTTCCAACTGGAATCCAAAGTAGTAGTCTTGTGGGACTAACTGGTCTTGTAGTTAGTGTCAGAATTAAATTGTTGGCCAGGTATGGTGGCATGCACTTGTAGTCCCAGTGAGACCCTGTCTTAAAAAAAAGTAATAAAATTTTGAAAAGATAATTAAGTTGTAGGACACCCAGAGAATTGGAGAATTAGGAAAACCTACACATTTGGTGTTGGAAGTGTGAAAGTGAAGAAAAACAGTTCGTTTTCCCTTTAACTGGTTATATTAGTCCCATTTGTAGCTGTTCTGTGTCACTGTATGAATGGGGTAGAATATAATTTTAGTGGAATTTTTGGTGGAAATATTCCTACCCTTTGTATTGTTGACTAAGAGCATAAAAATAAATTTTTATTTCTGAATTTTGATCCACATTTATGATGGTAAATCAAGTAAATATTTTGTTGTACATTCAGCTAGAGAATTCAGAGATCTCTAAGACTTATTTTTTTAAGACGACTATAATTTTCATAGGTATGGATATTATGCTTCAATGTAAGGAATTCATACGTTATGTTGTTTCTCTTTCAGGGTAATAGATGGTCTGGAAACTCTAGATGAGTTGGAGAAGTTGCCGGTAAATGAGAAGACATATCGACCTCTTAATGATGTACACATTAAGGACATAACTATTCATGCCAACCCATTTGCTCAGTAGCTGTAATAGACCTGGACACGTAACTTGACAAACTGCTGGAACAAACTTACTGTGGTTTACCCGGTTTTAATTATGTCAGAGATTGCATCATCCTTCTGCTTGTTCACAACTATGATCTTCTATGAAATGGTGGTACCAACGGGCACCCAACAGCTTTTATCTCCATTCTTAGAGCATAGTCTTTACTATGATTACCCAAAATATTTTAGTTTTAATACAGAAAATATATTGTTTAATTTTTATTACATGTAAAGATTCATTTTTAAATGCTGAGCCTTAAGTACAGGCATTTTTGAACAACCTGATACATAGCATAGTTCTTTTGAAAAACCTTGCAATTTCCTGAGTGACAGGAGTGAAAGGAATATTTTGTTGTTCATAACAAGCTCCGTTCAACCATACCTGAGTCTATGCTAATGAGGTGACTCTTGGTGGGGCCTCTAGATAGCTTCAGAATGGGAGTGGGGGCTGGTTGCTGGAGGAATCAGCCATGTATTTTTAGAGGACTAGAACATTCACTGACCTCCTATTCTTGACCTCTGGGAAGGAGAGAAGGGCCAGAGATTTTGTTCCAGCCTGATACATACTCCTACCACAGCAAGTCCATATCCTGGAAGTGTTATTTTATAACAAAATTAAAAATGGTTTTCTTTTTGTTTTTTTGAGACTGAGTTTCGCTCTTGTTACCCAGGCTGGAGTGCAATGGCACAATCTCGGCTCACCACAACCTCCATCTCCTGGGTTCAAGCAATTCTGCGTCAGCCTCCCGAGTAGCTGGAATTACAGGCACGCGCCACCATGCCCAGCTAATTTTTGTATTTTTAGTAGAGACAGGGTTTCACCATGTTGACCAGGATGGTCTCGATCTCTTAACCTTGTGATCCACCGTCTCAGCCTCACAAAGTGCTGGGAGTATAGGTGTGAGCCACCGCGCCCGGCCTAAAAAATGTTTTAAGGAATTAAGTTGTAGGACAAATTAATTTAAAATATTATGTAAAATTACCTTCAGGCTAATTTTAAGGTGTATATGAAACGTAAATGAACTTCATGTTTAAATTTGGGTCTCATCCCCAAGATATCTTATTTGTATATGCAAGTATTCCCAAATCTGAAAATTTGGGTATTACTAAAACCAATACTAATGGTGAGAGCTCTACCAGTAATCGTTCAATTTATACAGTTAGGAAGAGGAGGAACAGGATAAAAAGATAGTCTAGAAAGGCCAGCCAATCATCCATTTGCTATTTTCTCTGATCTTTAGGTTTACAGTAAAGGCTCTAAGAAGTCCTGGAATAGGGCCGGGCGTGGTAGCTCATGCCTGTAATCCTAGCACTTTGGGAGGCTGAGGTGGGTGGATCACCTGAGGTCAGGAGTTCAAAACCAGCCTGGCCATCATGGTGAAACCCCATCTTTAAAAAAAAAAAGAAAAAAAAGAAGTCCTGGAATATAGTAAATACTCAACATTTCCCAACTGATTTGCTCACTGACTTTTTTTTTTTTGGAAACGTAGTCTCACTCTTGTTGCCCAGGCAGGAGTACAGATAGCATGATCTCGACTCACTGCAACCTCTACCTCCCGGGTTCACGAGATTCCCCTGCCTCAGCCTCCTGAGTAGGTGGGATTACAGACACCTATCACCAAGCCTGGCTTTTTTTTAAAGTAGAGACAGGGTTTCACCACGTTGGCCAAGCTGGTTGAGAACTCCTGACCTCAGGTTATCCCCCGACCTCGGCTTCCCAAAGTGCTGGGATTATAGGCATGAGGCATTGAGCCTGGCCTGCTCATGAATATTTTTCAAGGCATATCTTTTTTTTTTTAATTTTAGATTCAGGAGGTACACGTGCGAGTTTGTTACAAGTATATATTACATGGTGCAAAGTTTGGGCTTCTAATGATCCTGTCACCCAGAGAGTTAACATAGTACATAAAAGGAAGTTTTTCAGCCTTTGCCCCCATCCCTTCCTCCTCCTTTTTGGAGTCCCCAATGTCCACTGTTCCCATCTTTTTGTCCACGTGAACCCAAGATTTAGCTCCTATTTATTGCAACTGAATGCAGGCTGGGCTGCACGCCACTTGCTAAGTCAATAACAAGGAGATGCAGTGAAAGGAAGGGGACTTTATTCCGGAGCTAGTAGTGGGGAAATAGCCAAAGTTAGTACCTTAAAGAATCATTTCAAACTTTAGGCTAGGGAGAGGGGCTTAAAAAGGGAACTTAGAATGGTAGGCATGCGGGAGTGGTGCAGGGTGTCAGGTTTCTGTGGCTTACTCTGGTGGCTATCCTTGAGTTTTCGTCCACCTGGAGTGGGGGCTGGCACCATCTCAACAATGGCTGGGTGACTAACCACCTTAAGGTAATCTCTGGAATTTTGTAGCTGGGTCTCCAAGGCTGGTCTATCTCACAATTAACCCTTGATGGGCCAGGTGCAGTGGTTCACACCTATAATCCCAGCACTTTGGGAGGCCAAGGTGGGAGGATCACCTGAGTCCAGGAGTTTGAGCCAAGCCTGGGCAACATAGTGAGACCTTCTCTCTACTAAAACTTGAGAAGGAAAAAAAAAAAAGCCAGCTGTGGTGGCACATACCTGTAGCCCCAGCTACTTAGAAGGCTGAGGTGGGAGGATTGCTTAAGCCAGGGAAGTAGAGGCTACAGTGATCCATGGTCGTGCCACTGGGCTCCAGCCTGGGCAACAGAGTGAAAACCCTATAGATAAATGTGTATAGTGTAAGTTTAACAGGCATACAGTTAGATAAATGTGCATAGTGTAAGGGAGTGTGAGATGGGAAAGGGAGGGAATCAGGGTTTTAACAAGATTACATCCTGAAATTAAGAATGAAAAAAAACTTTAAAATGCATTTCAAGGCTAGGATACTTGGTTACAAGTGAGAACATAAGGCATATCTTTGAAAATATTGAAGAGTAGAGCTTTACAGAAGATCCATTTGAAAAATGCAATGAATTAGTTAAAGGCAGTGGTTGTGGAGTCCCGGTCTGTGTTCGAATCACAGCTGTGCCCCTTACTGTTAACTTTAGGCAAGTTAACATCTCCAAGCTTTAGTATTTTCATCCATAAATAATACATCATAAGATAATTGTGAGAGTGAAATGAAATGTGTAAAGCTGGCATGTAGTAAGTAAATGGAAGCCACTCACCTAATATTCATGTCCACCACAGGGCTCTCACCTCATCAAGCCATTTATTGGGTTCTGCCATTAATTTCATCAAGACCATATTCTGCTCACTGCCTAGATCAAAGTGGTTGGATTGGGGTGGCATCAGTTTTAGGTTTGTCTCATGTTCTTCCATGGCTGATCTAATTAATGTTTTGATTCTTTCTTGACTAGTTCAGAGTTAGCTTATAGCAATTCTCTTGTTACCATTTATACTTTCCACTAAACTGAGGTGCTTTTACTAGCAGAGAATCTGTATTCATACAGACCTGCAGCAACCTCAATTCTTGCCTCCTCAGAAGAAATAATTCGACTAAGGGGTGTAAGGCAGGAGAGACTTGAGTCATGTTTTTTTTTGTTTTTTTTTTTTTTTTTTGAGACAGAGTTTCACTCTTGTTACCCAGGCTGGAGTGCAATGGCACGATCTCGGCTCACTGCAACCTCCGCTTCCTGGGTTCAGCCAATTCTCCTGCCTCAGCCTCCTGAGTAGCTGGGATCACAGGCACACGCCACTATGCCCAGCTAATTTTTTGTATTTTTAGTAGAGATGGGGTTTCACCTTGTTGACCAGGATGGTCTCGATCTCTTGACCTTGTGATCCACCCTCCTCGGCCTCCCAAAGTGCTGGGATTACAGGCTTGAGCCACCGCGCCTGGCCTCATGTTTTAAAGCAAGAGTGAAAGTTTGTTAAAAAGCTTTAGAGGAGGAATGCAAGGAAGGAAAGTACACGCTTGGAAGAGGACCAACCGGGTGACTTGAAAGACAAGTGCGTGGCTTGAGCTTTTGACTTGGGTTTTTATACATTGGCAAGTATAAAGAAGTAATGGGGCCCTGCATTACTTCTCCCCACTCGCACTCCTGAGATCTTATTGGGAAGCTGCTGATCAGGTGTTTTCCATTAGTTTCCCTGGTGCCAGCTGTGACCAATTATTACTTTAGCAAGATAGTTGTTATAACCACCTATCTCACCTGATGGTCGAGCAACACCTAGTATGTGTTTGGGGGGAGCCATCTCCTGGCCTCCTCATACCTGACTAGCTACCTACTGTAACAGTGCCAGTTATATTAATGATTTTACATTGTGTTTCATCTTTTCAATTTAATCACTTAGGTTTCTAGAAGTAGTATTAAGGCTTTTTTGCCAGACCTTGTTTTGCCACTTTTTATTTATTTATTTTTTTGAGACGGAGTCTCACTCTATAGTCCAGGTTGGAGTGCAGTGGCGTGATCTTGGCTCACTGCAACCTCTGCCTCCCAGGTCCCAGTTCAAGCAATTCTTCGGCCTCAGCTCCAGAGTAGCTGGGATTTACAGGCACACACCACCATGCCCAGCTAATTTTTTTTTATTTTTAGTACACACAGGGTTTCACCATGTTGGCCAGGCTGATCTTGAACTCCTGACCTTGTGATCTACCTGCCTTGGCCTCCCAAAATGCTAGGATTACAGGCACTTTGGGAGGCCAAGGCAGGTGCCTGGCCTGCCACTTTTAAAATAGAGATAGGGTCTCACTATGTTGCCCAGGCTGGTCTCCAACTCTTGAACTCAAGGTTGATTCTCCTGCCTGAGCCTCCCAAAGTGCTGGGATTACAGGTGTGAGGCACCTCTCTGGCCTTGCCACTTCTTATACCTTGTACATTCCTTTCCTAGACATGTCATTTAAAGTTTTGTGGTTACTCTTAAGTAACATGACTGTTAGGATGTTTTGTACTTAGTGGTATTCCTCCAAGTTTTATTCTAAACTCTGCCACTTTTTTTTTTTTTTGAGATAGTTTTGCTCTAGTTGCCCAGGCTGGAGTGCAATGGCAAAATTTCGGCTCACTGTAACCTCTGCCTCCCAGGTTCAAGTGATTCTCCTGCTTCCGGCTCCTGAGTAGCTGGGATTACAGGGGCCAGCCACCACACCTGGCTAATTTTTGTATTTTTAGTAGAGATGGTGTTTCATCATGTTGGCCAAGCTGGTCTCGAACTCCTGACCTCGTGATCCACCCGCCTCAGCCTCCCAAAGTGCTGGGATTACAGGCGTCAGCCACTGTGCCTTGCCAACTCTGCCACTTTTAATTAATGGTACCAA